TGACCAATTTATTATTGTTTTTGGAGGGATTATTATTAGGAGTGTGGAGTAAGGAAACTTGCCCAAGGTTTCGCCCTGCCTGGAATTGAACTCAGGTCTCTCACTTACAACCTGGGAAAGTTGCAGAAAGCTTGCTCCTGCCACAATCCCCAGGACATAAGTTCAAATCCCAGAGCAGTGCAGCACTCAGTTCTCCCAGTTTTAACTGTGAAGAGTTTCACCAAAATCCAGACAAGAAAATTGGTGTCCCACCATGTAAGATGGTATTCACATTCTCATCTTTAAAAAATGAACATATGGCTCATTCACTTTCCTTTAGTTGGCTTCTGCCCCCTACAATGATCCATATCCAAAGGACATTTTCTGAAATTAAAACAGAAGTCGCTGGGAACCTACAACAGGTCAGGCCGCATCTATGGATAGAGGAAAATGAGATAACGTTTCAGGTCGAAACGTTAACTCATTTTCCTCTCTCCTTAGATGCTGCCTGAACTGCTGCGTGTTCCCAGCAACTTCTGTTTTTATTTCAGATTTCCAGCATCTGCAGTATTTTGCCTTTTGACTTTTTCTGAATGTGGTTCCCTACTTCCACAACAGCTGATAACATCAAAGGCCAGAAAGGCTGAAGGCGTGACCGCCGATGGTGGAACACAGGGACAGTAGATATGATTAAAATTGGGTTTAAATTATGATTATTTGGATTATATAGGATTATGAATACACTGATAAAGCTAGTCTTGAAGTTTAACCTATTTCACTACTGTAATATTAGTGTTGGAACATATTAGTGTCCGAAACAATGACTATCCAGCGCTTTGGGATGTCCTCCCGACGTGAAAGGCACTATACAAACATCATTTTGTTTTAGTTGTTCTTGTTTGTTTTAGCATGTGAGGAACATGTTACCCATATGAGAAATGTTTATTTTAAATGAAACCAATAAACTTTCGTGTGCGTGATATTGTGTGTGCGCGCGTGTGTTTGCTTGTATGCCTGTGCTCTTGTGTATACATTCATGCCCATTTGATTTCAGAATACAATCACTCATTTTCAATGTTTTCATTTTTAAAACATTCTTCTTTTGAAGGTTAATGTTGCGAAATTCCCAGTTTGCCTGGTTAAAAACCGAGCTCTTGGGAAAATTTCTGGAGCCTGCAAAGGACTTCATTGTAAATTGCCCAGTGAGGTCCAAATGAAGGAATCAAATAACCTCAGAATGAACACGGGCTGCTGAACACCATTAAACTTTTAAATATTAAACATATTCACTGTTTGTGGTTATCCTTGAACCTGCAATCCCATGTGTTCATCCCAGTTACTGAATTAAAATAAACCATTCTATAAAATCTAAGATTTCACTTATTTATATTGCTCCAGGGCAAGACAACCAACACTATTATAACTGTGCTTTTAACCTTCAGAGTAAAGTTGTTAATGGATAAAATATGGTTAGACTGACCTCAGTATTTATGAGAGAAATCCTTTATAATGATAGGCCTTTAGAAGCAGCTTCTTTTTCCAATATGAGCTGATCACCACCACCACCACAACAACAAATTGTATTTTTATATAATGTCTCTCATGTCGGGAGGACGTCCAGAGGCGCTGGACAATGAGAGGTTTGCACCCAAGCTGCAGATCGGGATCAGTGAGGAGAATAAATAAATCAATAAGATTTATCACACAAATATTTAGCACTTTTTCTGGAGTTTTTACCTTCTTAAATAAAAACTCCTTTTAAAAAATATGAAATGACTATTCACAATTTAAATAAATAATGAATCCATTGCTCCCCCAAAGATTAATCCAGCTTTAGCCACTAAGTAGCTGAGCCATACAAACCAAAACACATCAGTTTCAACCTCCAGTCACTGCTGAGTTAGTTAATCCTAGGAGCATTGGCAGTGTGGCATTTCAATTAACATTATAATAATAATAATCCTTGCATTTGATATAGCGCTTTTCACGTCGGGAGGACGTCCCAAAGCGCTTCACAGAACACACTGTAAAGTGAATTGACTGTATATTTGTGGGTGAACGCGGCAGCCAATTGCGCACAGCAATGTCCCACAAACAGTCGTAGATTGAAAATGACCAATTTATTATTGTTTTTGGTTTTGGTTATAAAAAACATTATACCCAAAGTAGACAGGTGGTGGGGGAAAGAGGGAAAAAATCAACCTGGGTCTTTTCTCACGATTCCTGTCGAGAGAGCAGCTCACCACACCCGCCCCTTTAGAAGGTGCGCTCAATGAGCCACCTGTTAGCAAGGTAACCTTAGGCAAAGTGAACAATATGTGCAAAACGTATAAATAAGTGGGTTATACGTAGCATACACAGGCTGAATTTGGGAATCCTTACAGCAAATACTGTACATCTGAGAAAAAAATGGAGGAATCAATCTTTCCAATCAAAAAGGGGAGGGGGTAGGGGTACAACCATGTGCATTAAGGAAAATAAATCAGCGAAAAGAAGGAGAAAAAGTAATATTCAAAACATATCCTCAAGCTGTAGAAATAAAGCATTTCATATTTAAAGTAAATTGTGATCGAAATAAATCTCTGGTGTTGGCCTTCAAAAGAACGTGGTTAGAACAAGCGGAAAAATTCATGAAGCAAGCAGCTTTTATTTGAAAACAGAATAGAGAAACTAAAGAGTAATATTTGGCATATATTTGCTTAATTGGTTTAACGGGCAGACATTTCTCACAGCTGATTGGACAAGGTCCGCCTTAAAGATTAGATCTAATTGGGAAAGCAAGGATCTTTCTACTGAGAATTTTTTTTAAAAGAGTAAGGTACATCTTCGGCACTGAATATTGAAATTATTATTTTTTTAAATTATTTAAATCTTTAAAAGAAGAAAAGGAAACTAGTGAGCAGAAAGGATGTGTGGACACAGAAAGAAAATTATGTAATTGGCACAGCAACAGCCATTTCAGAACACACATCAGCATGTGTCACATTACCGCGCCTAAAAGCCCCTTAAGGAGTTCGGGTCCTTTAACTTTTGCCCGCAGTATTCTGGCCTAAACAGCAGAGTCTAATCCAGTGGAATGTGGGGCAGATGGAGAATGAGGTAGAACTGATAATTTCTTCATCCGATATTCATTTGACATCAAGCCACGAATAATTGGTAACCTCCTTTCGAAGCATCCGAAGTTCAAAGTACGGCAAGTTGACTCTAATTTCACACACTGGAATCAGCCAGGTACAAGGTAAGTAACTGACTAATTGTATTTGTGTAAAAGAGTAAGGTCGCTTGCATTTAGGAATGATGCTGTCCTTACATGTCCTCCACGTACATGAAATTCTAGAAACCATTGCAAAACCGATTGATTGATCTACAACAAGCCGAGCTCCGGAAATGGGCAATTCCAATTAAAATGACAAAACCATTACACTTCTTGAAGTTGCGATTGTGAAATTGGGGATGGGGAAAGAAAGTGAGAGCATCAGTTATCGTGGTCGGTAAATCTGCTCAAATAATAGGCATGGGATAAATGACAATATCCCACAAGATAGCCCCAAAGAAGCAATCAGTAAGAGAAAGTGGGAACAACAACAAATTGCATTTAAACAGCGCCTTTCATATCGGGAGGCCGTCCCAAGGCACTTAACAGTGTAAGGTTTGTACCCAAGCTGGGGGTTTGAATCAAGAGGGTTGGAGAACAAGGGGTGGTGGAAAGGTGACCGAAGGCGCAGTCAACAAAGGAAGTCTTGAGACAGGCCTTGAAGGAGACAAGAGACAGGGCAAGGTTGAGAGATTCCGGGATGGAGTTTCAGAGGGTGGCCACAAAGGCTGAAGGCCTGGCTGCCGACGGCGGAGCGGGCAGGGCGGGGGACATGGAGAAGATGAGTTCCCGCCGAGTGAAGGGAATGGACAGGTTGGTAGAGGTTTAGTAGGTTACAAAGATAGGAAGGAGCAAGATTGTGGAGGGCTTTGAAAGTAAGGACGAGGATCTTAAACTCGATCCTCTGGGAGATGGGGAACCAGTGAAGCCGGGTGAGGATAAGAACGTGAGAACAAGAATTTGCTAGGCGAACATAGACCAAGATCCATCTCATTCGCCTTCCACCATCTTGGCAGTCGCTTGACAGGTCGTGTCCCAAACTATATACTGTATCACAAAATATTATTTTCAAGTAGAAATCTATCGACTTGTTTTGAAACAAACAACATTTTCTGCTTCCACTGTTTCCCTAGGGAGCCTGCTCCATAAGTTTACTACTTGCTCACTGAAGTAGTGTTTCCGCAGATTTATTCTGAATTTACCCCCCTTCAATCGCAGGCTGTGACCTCTGGTTCTACTGTTCAGTACAAGATAAAACAGCTTATCATGGTCTACATTACCTGTTCCCTTCAGAATCTTAAAGACTGTAATCATATCATCCCTCAGCCTTCTCTTCTCCAGTGTGAACATGCTCAGTTTATCTAATCTCTCCTCATAGTCTAGTCCCTTCATTCCCTCAATCATTTTGGTGGCCCTCTCTCAATCGCTGCAATATCCTTTTTATATTGCGGTGACCAGAACCTCACACAGTATTCCAAGGTTGGGGTTGATTGGATTCCGGAGCTTGGTGTGGGAGAGGAAACAAGCTGCAAAGTTCTTGATAATCTGCGGTTTGTGGAGGGAAGCACTAACAAGAACAACAAGATTACATTTGTATGGCTCCTTTCATGTCGGGAGGACATCACTAAATGGGTTCACAACAGGTACAATAGTCAATGTTAGTATTATTAGTGCAGATACGTGGACAAAGAAGGTATCACATTACGTGATGCTTTGACTGAAGGAATGGAGCTCATCAGCAGATATTAATTTATAATTTTGTTGTCTATTNAAAAAATGCCTTTAATTCATGCTGGGAAGAAAATTACTGTGGTGAACGCAAAAAGATCACATTTAAATTACAATTTTTAATTTTTTTTGTATTTGCTTTGATTGCAAAGAAATTTCCGTACCTATAGTTTAACATTAAAATGGAGGAATTGCTCACCTCTAGCTCAGAAATATGGGCATGTAGTTTCTGGACCATGTCCTCTGCTTCACGCACCCGCCTGTTCAACTGAGGGGTATAACTGGAGGAGACCAGCTCATTGTCATAGGAATCCAGGATGCTTCTCATCCCATCGCGAGCCTGAAACAAAAACACTTGAGTTACAAGAATATAAATCTTTTCTTTAGCCTGTCTAATAAGACCTAACTAATTCAGTGAACAGTACCCAGGAATAATTGGTTGCATTGAGGCAAAACTCATCTCGATGATCCTAAAGGTGAAGTTGCAGATTGTAACTTTTTTGTTATATTTCATGGAATATATAAATATTTTATGGACATATATAAATATACAATGTATTCCATTCAATGGCACCTTGGTTCACGGTGTTTTTTGAAAGCTGTGATTTGCTCTGTAAACCACTGAGCATTTATGATGCTATCCGGCATCTTGTTAAAATAGACTAGTTTGAAGGTGTGACTGGATATCTCGAAAAAAAAATCTGGAAAAACTGTCTCAGAAAGCCATGGGACAGGTAAGAATTTAAACAAGAGACTGAAAGGGGAAGGAACACAAGAAAATTAGATAAGCAAAGTCTCAAACAAATATTATTGGATGAAGAGATGACTGAAGAGATGGTAGACTGATCGATATCTTGCATTTTTGCTTGGAATTTGAAATCAAAATAAAAGTCATGAGATTTTTTTCTGTGAAGTGCTTTGCGATGTTTCAACAACTTGATAGAGCTCTGTATCAAATGCAAGCTTCTTTTAAAAACAAAAAATGTCTGCAATCACAAGCAAACCATATTATTGGAATTTCACATTCACTAAAATACTTAACTGAGGCTGTTTTTGGTAAGTTAGAGCGTGAGGTATAACAGGTACAGGAATATGCCTAAAATTCCTTACGAATGCAGGAGTGCCATAAGATGTTGCTATTGGGCTTGATAGCTTTACGGCCACAAGCCCTGGTTTTGTGACTACACCTCATTAAGAGCCCTAATCCATGGCATTGCAATTTCGGAATCAAAGGGTTGGGATGCAAGCATTTGAATCTTGCCCAAATATCTGAACCTGACTGAGCATGTAAAAATATAATATTAATGTGCTCCTGCATCATAAAAGCCAAATATTTTGGATTGTAGTCCACCTTCTCTCATCCTTTTAAGAGATCAGTGATCAAGAAAAGTTACTCTCTTTGTCCAAAGTTCAATTGTTCAGTGGTGTCTCGGTCTCTTCTCAACAACTTTGCAATTGAAGGGCAAATTGGTCAGTTTCCCAAGTATATCTTGGATTATCAATGATATCTTAATCCAGGCAAAGCCTTTGATGTGAAGAGTCTAATTGACATGCAGAACATCACAGGTTCCTTAAATTAGTCTGTCTGCACTGCATCCTTAATGAGAACAAAAATCAACCCTAAGCTTCCACTGATGTTACCACACTGACAAGATGACTCGTTCCGTGATGAACAAAATATACTCATCATTTTCAAAAGATAGTAGTGAAGCCTTAGATGGGTCAAACTGAGTGAGTTCCACTCCTTTCACAGATCTGGATCCTCTAATCCGGTGGTGTAGTGCAAGGATCTGAGAGTCTAAATTCTAATTTCTCAATCCTGGTTCAACAGAGTGGTGGCCAGGTCCACTCGGGGACAGTTTTCACTCCGTCACTCAAATACTCCTTCCACAGTCTGAGATGCACCCCCCGTGGGGAGCAACAATTCTTTAAATAGATTGTTACTGAACCAAAGATTTGATTTTTGTTCCAATTAGTGATGCAATCCACACACATACGGTCTCTCTCTGTACTGCATTCCTCTTACAATCTCTCAGATAAACATGGGTAGTTAAAGACCAGCAACTCTATGACTTTTGCCAAAATGCATCATGTTTAGTCCAGCATGATTTCATCTTAAGCTTTCGTTCCAGAGCCTCTCTTGTCCTTCTTGTTGTTGTTGTCCTCTGATGGAACAACTGGAAACTTCCATTTCCTTGATTAAATTTGTTCCAACAACCATATGTGATCAGTTAACATTGCCAGCTGTCTAGATTTCCCAAAGCCAACTTCAAGTCCGGTCATGATATGAAACTCAATCTTAGTGAAGGTGAAAACAAATTTAAATGGTCTTTTGAGAAATACTTTCCTGGGTGGTTTTCCCTTAATTACAACGTTTGTTCCCCGCCCAGAAATAAATCTCCTGGACAGCATCAATAGTATTGTAATATTGTAATAATATTGTAATAATACCAGTTGCAACCTGATGATCTAGAAATTGACCATTTTGTAACTGGGATGCTGGTCGTCATGCAAGACTCTCTCTCAGATTTCAAAGCTATTGAGCAGCAACTGCTCCCTACTGGAAGGCAGGTTGGGATTTTAAAGACCCCAGTTATCACTTTATACTAGGATTTGAGACTATTAACAAGGATGCATGGCACAAATCTCACAGGACTCTAGTCCACATGGGCGGGCAGGAGTTTACACTCAAGACTCATTATACGATGAGTGTTACAATCTCAATCATAGGCTTCTGCACAGAGAGTAAAGGAAAATCAATCTCATGAGTATTTCCCTCAAACCTCTCAGCTGTATGTATGTATATAAGCCTAGTTGGAAGCTTAGGAGCTCCATCCTGCCCCCAGGACACATTTTAGAAAGTTATGTAGCCGGAAAGGGAAATAAAACTGCAATCGAATGCAATTGAATATTAGTTGCCCAACAATTGAAAAATCCCCTGAGAGTAAACCACAAGAGCTTCTCTCTTGTTTCACTCTAAACCCCCCTCCTCCCCATATAAAATCATGTGCTGTAATTGGTTAAACATGACATTAACACATGCCATTTCATGAAAAGATCCATTTGTCTTGCAATGCAGCACAATGCCATACATTAGTCACCCTTCACTGAATGACAGCAATATAAATAGAAAATAGATATCGAGGAGTAATTATAAACCAGTAATCTCATTCAGGGCTTGAAATGATATAATAAACTGCAAGAGTAAAGCCCTAGCAGCTTATCAATGTTATCTGAAGCCTGAGATGAGATTACAGTCTTGCAGTCAGTTCCAGATATCCACGATTCTCTGTAATGCATACTGTGGACTGCAAGAGGCAGCTTCCTCCTCATTTGACCCTCTCCCTCCCCTCCTAAAGGTATCTAGATCTATACGTGTCAGTGGTTCTCTACTATTGTGCCCGAGAAATAATAGTATTTTGGGGAAATAGAAAGAAAACCAGAAAATGCTGAAAATCAAATAGAAATCCTGGAAACTCTCAGCAGGTTACTCAACAACACATAGAGTTTAGGTTCTGATGAAAGGTCCGAACCAATTCCCGGAGTAATATCCATGCTGTTTGGCAGTGGAGATACATACCAGATTAGTTGTCAACATGAACTGTTAGATGATATCAACAATTCCAGGCACTTTTTACCGTGTGGTCAACTTTATCAAATACAGGCACTGTTCTTCTTCCTACCCTTGTCTGCTACATTACACACTTCCTTATCCAACCAATTGTTAAAGAAACATTCTCGGAAACTGTAACAATATGCTCTTTAAATCAGTTTATCTTTAAATTGGTTTAACAATATTTTTAATAAGCTACTGGAAAGGCTCTGCGGACTTTGTAAAGTATTAGTAATAACCAGTTTTTGTCTAATTGTATTTCTAAATACTCCTGTTGTATTGTCTAGCTGATTATATTTTAGCTAACTATTGTTGTTGAAGAGACATCCCATCAATATTTTCCAGACGTGCACTCTCTAATCTAGCGCTTATTCACCATTGCATTCATGGTGTATAATGTTGGCTTTCCCTATTGACTTGTACTGAAAGTGAATAATTCAATTTAATTGGCTGCTTGTCTGGTACTAAATTTTAATGGTGACATTAACTAAGCTGTGACACATAGGTCTAAATGTCCCAAATTTACTGAACTGGAATCGGATGATAAATTTGACTATTTTGCACACAAAGGCAGAAATATCCATAATAGGCTCAACAGTACACATCATTAGTGCAACCACTTGACAAACTTCTACAAATGTGAAAAATGCATTTTGTCACTATTTTAATCTTATTATGAACCAAACTCACATTTACATTTCTCTGAGGAGCAGTGGCCAGGGAGACAGCAGACAATTTGTTCAGACTACTAAGACATTTAAATTGTCTGCTTTTTGCCTTCTTTCTCCCCAAGGACTATGAGTTGACCAAAAAATATCAGAGAGAGCAAATTAGGCGCAGTTCCTGATGGCTCGAGGATAAAGGACCAGTGTAAAATGGCACTGAGCCATACAAACTAGAAACAGCACAGAATCAATTTGTGGATTGCATTTAGTTACTGATCTCAGCTAGGGGGAGGAGGGGATGTAGGCAGGAGGAGAGAATAGATAGTTCACAGTTCCCAAGTTAGGAAAGCAGACAAATGGCTGAGTGTTCCTTCTCCTGATGCTTATCTAATGAGACTTTGTGTGTCAGCACCAAGAAAATAACGTAACGCATTCCTGAAACAACTTGTCTGGTCGAATAGTTCACTGACAGTCACGGTCAAGGCTTTCAATTGATGAATGGTCTGCCAGGTACAGGATACAGAGATGGGATGGCCATAGCACATTACCAAACCCCATTGCGGTAATAATGTGGTAATAAGCGCATATCAAACTGATTACTCATGTATTTCCCCATTTTAATTGGTAGGTGAACTATTCTATCATATGGGAAGTATTTAGCAGCTGTTAGAATCAGGATTCTGACAGCTTTACTGGCACTGCCACGCCAGGGCTTCAGCACGCCCACATTGCTGTAGCTCACCCTGGATCAAACCTTGTGGGGGCTTCGGAAATGGCCATTACCAGAGTTGGCTTTTGACATAACAATGGTTGTCTCTCAACAGGTGACACCATTGCAGAAAAACTGTGCCTTTAGATAATGCCTTCCAACACTGCAGTCAGTGTTCCTTCATTTGGCATCGCAAAATGTGTATCTCAATCAGCTCCCTGTTTTTTTTCACGTGTGAGCAAATCAGAGGACAAGATGAAAGAATTCAATGAATCGATGAATTCAACTAACACTCCTTTCTGTATTAATATTTAACCAGGGTAAAATCTTTGGGCAATCGAACCATGTTTCTT